ACAAATGGGCTTCCTTCAGACAGATTTCAAGAACTTACTAGCAAGCTGGGAATGATAAATATCTATTCCTCAGCTTGAGAGGGAGTGTTGTAAATAATAATTATTTAGTTATTATTTAGTCATTAATTTGTTGTATTGGGCCAAGTCCATTAGGTCAAAATTAGGTCAAGTATTCTCTATAAATAGAGAACCCTTTGTACAGATTATACACAATTCAATAATATTTCAAATACCCTTTTCTTTCAAGTGCTGGGGATGCCTATAATCCCATAAATGTTCTAACGAGTCCAACGACTCGTCCAAGACTAGTTCCTCGTCTCACATGCTCAACTTGGAATCAAGTAGTTGGAAATTTTCTGCTTCTTGTGCCGACTCTGAGTCTACTTGTTACAGGTTATCGATGGAGTATCCTTCAGCATAATTAGTGGAGAAATTTCTCTACGCGACTCAGGAAGTTCAGGGCACTTGGGATGGATGCTGAGGAAATGGTTACTCTCCCCGTTGGTGTTAGTGTTGAGGTAGATCTCTCACCATCATCAACCTCGGAGCCCATCTGCTCAGGTTGGGGGTAGATGAGCCTATCTTCTTTTACCTGTATAGAGATTTCGTCACCAAGTTGGGGATACGGTTTCCCTTTACATAGTTCCAAATATCGGTTCTCAAGCAATTGGGGATTGCGCTCACTCAACTCCATTCGAAATCCTAATGGTTCAGCCGAGCCTTCGAATAGGTGTGTAGTTAACTTGTTATTCCTTACACAATAAGTCAATTCTTCTATATGTTTGAGGTCTACAAATCCTGAAGCGGCATCTAGCCTCCAAACAAGATAGGTTGGGTTACCATCCCAGGAGTTCCCAATAGGAAGATCTTCAAGGTCTTCAAGAGGTTCAAGAATAGCTTCTTCAAGGTATCCATTCATCAAGGTTGTATGCTCTGGTTCATGATTGAGGGGGAAGACACCAAGTTCCCTTTTTACTGGACCTGATAACACTACTTTAAGAAGTCTCGTAGATATAAGACGCTGGAGTCTAAGTTGACAAATGCGGACCAGGCCTCCTTCAATGCCTTCATAATCTGCGGTAAACTTCCATTCTTTGGCATTCTTATTGCAGATGTCATCCCTTCGCAAAATAAGTCACCTACTTTGAAGGATCTTGGCATGACCTTCTTGTTGTGTCGAGTAGGCTTGAGACATTTGGTAGCTAAATCCTCGAGTCACGCTATCTCATGTTGCTCATCCAGCAGGTCTAGCTCCATATTAAAGGCCTCATGGATGGTTTCTTCGTTGGTGGCTTGCCTATTAAAGGGTGCACATCCTTTTTTAGGAAGGCTTGCCTATTTCTACCAGAATCATGGCCTCACTTCTATAAGTAAGCTTGAAGGAGGTTTACCTTATCGTGGATTGAAAAGTCATCATGTTGAAAGTTAAAATGGGAGTACCTTATCATATAAGATACATACTCATGAAGGTTAAAAATAAAAATTTTATTTTTGTTCTTCATTTCAAAATTGTAAGCCCATTTAGGGTCCTCATGCGATTATCTTAGGATCTACTCGTTAAAAACAAGTTAGGGTTTTAAAGGTCATACCTTTTTCACTTGAAGACTCCAAAGTGTTCTAATGGTGATACATACTATCGTTCCTCAATAGCGTGCGAGAACTCTTTCTCTTTGATCTTTTTTTCCGTGGTATCTTGCTAGGCGAATGTAAGAATGAAGGTTATCAAGTGTATGATTTAATTTCTCAAGACTGTGATTTTTTTTCTTGAGGTCAAATGCGGCGCAACAATGGAGGAGACAAATGATGAATAGGGAAGCTAGCACTTAGTGTTCGTGAAGCAAAAAGGGCGCATGAATGATATGTGAAAGTGGCTCACGGTTGCTCATTTTAAATTAGGATTAGTTATAATTTGAATACCACTTAATTGCTTCATCTAAGATAATTTTCTTGATCCATCTTAGATTCACCTCTATCACGAAGTTAGAGAACTTTCCTCCACATTTGAATTTGTAATTCAAATTATGCTTCAAGAAGATTCAAATTCAAATGGGTTTTGGAAGCTCCCCATTTGAAGTTTCCCCCATCCACTCTTCACTTGATTGTTGCTTCATTAAAAACCTCATTCGAATTCATAATTTAACTGGTTAAGTTATTTCATGAAGCCTTATCCAATCCCTATTGGATAATGCTTCATTTTGAATTAGATAAATAAGAAGAAAATTCTCATAATTATCTAATGAATAATTGTCAATTATCCTCTCCACTTAACCTCTTTACTTTCAATTTAATTATGTTTAAATTTATTCTTATACTAGCTCTAAATTTGAATTTGAATTCAAATTGAAAATTGCATTAAAACTAATTTTGACTAAGTTAACTCCTTAACTTACTAAGACCCATGGCCCAAGACCCTATTGGGCCTTCAAGCATATTATGCATTATTGGGCCCAAAACACATTTGCTAGAATTCAAGACAACTTAAGCTGTTTGTGTGCTACCCATCAGGCCCAACATAGCCACTGATATAAATGGGCTTGGGCCTATTAGACCCAATTCATCTAATGACAACACAGAGCACTAGCAATGCTTTGTTGTCCCAGAGCTAGTTGAGTTCATCGAATGATCAACCTGTTATACATATTTGGTTACCGTGTGAATTGTCCTTTCGTCTCAGTTATCCATCCCATTGACCTAGGTCAAGGAAAACATATCAACCCCTGCAGTCTAGGGTTAACTTTTGCCGAAATAGGGAATCTTCATTTACGGACTCTAATGAGCGAGCCATCTCATAACTCCTTTACTATGTATAGATTCTTGCGTCCCGTAAATGTCATCCCGATTTCACCGGTCTACGGATAACCTAATCTCTCTCAGAGATTGGCGAATTCCTTTAGCTTGTCACATTAGCCCCAAGTCCTTAGGGCATGCCCAAGAGTATACCTACAAGTCTCCATGTTTCAGGCAGACAAGATATACAATCAAAGCAAACCTTCCAGAGCACAGGTCTATATGACAACGTCAGGTCTAAGGAAAGACACACCCAAATAATAAGAAACATTACCTATTGATACTATCTGCGATATTTCCTTGTAGTGTCTCTTTGTGGGTCAGTTCAGTGCGAGCTATTCTCCAATAGGTCCACCCACGAGTCAGCTAAGACATCTCCATGTCTGTAGCTCACGAGGACTCTACCTTGCATCTCCATGCAAATAGCTGAGTCGTGCTAGTCTTACCCAAGATAACCAATGCCCATTATGGGTATCTCTAGACTAGGAACATATTTCTGGCAATGGACGTGTGGTGTCATTGAGCCCTCATGATCGTGATCTCTATCACAGATCCTCAATGTGACACCCGTTCCATTCCAAGGGCTTTATCCAGTTACTCATATTCAATATTTGAGACATGCAATATGAAATAAGATAAATAATGCTTTTTATTCATAACTAATAAAGAAGTACATGGATCCATCTGACTCTTAGATTTTCTCTAGGACACCTATGTACTAACAATCTGCCACTTGGCCTAGAGCCAATCTGACCGAAATCCATTTCCTAAAGCCTCATAATGACTATCATGTTTTCTCTGAGAAACTCCTTTTGTCGGAGAATCGGCTAGGTTATCATCTGTGGGAACATAATCGATCTTTACATACATCCTATCAATGATTACTCTAATCAGGTGATATCTGCGGAGCACGTGTCTTGATCTTTGATGAGACCTGGGTTCCTTTGCTTGCGCAATAGCACCATTGTTGTCACAATACAACTGTATGGGCTCAATAATGCTGGGAACCACCCCAAGTTCAGTGATGAACTTCTTGATCCACACCGTCTCCTTAGCTGCTTCTGAAGCCGCTATATATTCAACCTCTGTCATTGAATCTACTATAGTCTCTTATTTAGAACTTTTCCAAGTCATTGCTCCACCATTTAAGGTGAATACGAACCCTGATTGTGATTTACAATCATCTTTGTCACTTTGGAAGCTAGCATCAGTGAACCCTTTCACTGCTAGCTCATTAACTCCACTATACACCAGAAACATATCCTTAGTCCTTCTCAAGTACTTTTGCGGATTGTTTTGACTGATGTCCAGTGACCCTCTCTAGGGTCTTCCTGGTACCTGCTCGTTATGCTTAAAGCATAAGAGACATCTGGTCTTGTACAGATCATGACATACATGATGGATCCGATAGCCGAAGCGTATGGTATCTCACTTATGCGATCCTTCTCTTGTTGTGTCTTAGGACACATAACCTTAGAAAGATGCACACCATGATTGACAGGACGAAAACCCCTTTTTGACCTTTCCATACTAAATCTCATTAGTATTTTGTCAATGTACGTAGATTGAGATAATCACAGTAGCCTCTTAGTTTTATCTATATAGATCTTTATACCCAGTATATAGGCTGCCTCTCCCAAATCTTTCATGGTGAAGCTTTCAGAAAGCAACTCCTTAATTGTTTGAAGTGTAGGGATGTCATTCCCTATCAGCAGTATGTCATCCACATAAAGCACCAACAAAATAACATTGCTCCCACTAACCTTCTTGTAAACACAAGACTCATCCTTGTTCTTGATGAAACCGTTACTCCTAACAACCTCATCAAAACGAATGTTCCAACTCTGTGATGCTTGCTTTAGCCCATATATTGACCTTTGAAGTTTGCATACCATATACTTCTGGCCTTTGGATTCAAAACCTCCAGGCTGTGTCATATACACCTCCTCCTTCAAGAAGGCATTCTTGACATCCATTTGCCAAATTTCATAATCATTATATGTTGCTATAGCTAGCATGATCCGAATAGATTTGTCCATGGCAACAGGAGAGAAAGTCTCGTCATAGTCAACTCATTGTCTTTAACGATATCCTTTCGCAACCAACCTAGCTTTATAGGTTTGAACGTTGCCATCTGCATCAGTCTTTTTCTTAAAGACCCATTTACATCCAATAGGAACCATTCCTTCTGGATGTAGAACCAAGGTCCATACCTAGTTTTGATGCATCGAGTCTATTTCAGACCTCATGGCTTCAAGCCATTTGGAGGAGTCAACATCCTTGATTGTCTCCTCATAGTTACAAGGTTCGTCATCCTTAATGGTTTGTTGATTCTCAATCACATAACCGTACCTCTCAGGTGGTTGACTAACCCTAGTTGACCTACGAAGTTGTGTGTTTACTTCTCCATTGGAGAGCGTCGCTTGCTGAGCAGACTCGGGTTCCTTAATCTGTTCTTGTGGGCTTTGAACTTCTTTAAGTTCAATTTTACTCTCACTAGCTCCATGAGAAAGAAGATCCTCTGATGTCAGCGCTTTGACATATGCTGGAGATCTCCAAACCTTGAGGTAGCTCAAGTTTGGTCTCCTACCAGTCCATATCTCTCATGGAGTGGTCTGAATAGATTTAGAAGGTACCCTATTCAGAAGGTATGCTGTAGTGCTTAAGGCATACCCCAAAATGATTTTGGGAGTTCTGTCTCACTCATCATGGATCTATCCATATCCAATAAGGTTCGGTTCCTCCTTTCGGATACACCATTTGGGTGTGGCGTGTAAGGCACAGTAAACTGTGAGAGAATCCCATTCTCCTTTAGATAATCTTGAAACTCGTTGCTCAGATATTTGCCACCACGATCTGATCGTAATGTCTTAATCATCTTGCATCGTTGTTTCTCTACTTCACTCCTATACTCCTTGAACTTTTCAAAGGCTTCGAATTTATGTCTCATCAGGTATACATACCCAAATCTTGATCTATCATCAGTAAAGGTAATAAAGTAGGAATATCCACCTCTAGCCTCGACAGACATTGGACCACATACATCAGAGTGAATGAGTCCTAATAACTCACTAGCCTTATGACTCTCAAGCTTTTTGGGCTTGGTCTGAGTCATTTTCCTAGCTAGACAAGACTCACAAGGTCCATAGGATTCTAAATCCATGGAATCAAGGTGTCCATTTGAATGTAGCCTAGAGAGTCTTGTTTCGTTTATGTGTCCTAGTCTACAATGCCAAAGATAAGATTTATTATCTATCCTAGGTTGTTTCACATTCACATGGAGGACTTTATTTTCCATTTCTAGAACATATAAGCCATTTACCAAAGAAGCAGTAGCAAAAACCAATATCATTCATAATGATAGAAAATTCACTACTCTTAATAGTAAATATAAAACCATCTCGTTCTAAACAAGAAATAGAGATAATGTTTCTAGAAATGTTAGGAACATAAAGACAATTATTCAAATGCAGCATAAGGCCCGTACACGAAACAAGGTCAACATCTCCAATAGCCAATGCAACAACTTATGCTTCATTCCCAACTCGAAGATCCACCTCGTTCTTGTCAAGCTTCCTCGGATTCCTTAGCACCTGCAACATATTGCAGGTGTGAGAATCACAACAGGTATCCAATACCCATAAAGCCGGGTTAGCACAAGAAAAATTAACCTCAATCATGTAAATACCTGAGGTAGAAGCATCATTATGCTTCTTTTCCATTACACCTTTGATGTAGTCAGGACAGTTCCTCTTCCAATGGCCTTTCTTGCCACAATGGAAGCAGTCAACGTCATTTTTATCGTTGCCTTTACCTTTGGCCTTTCCCGTCTTCTTATTGGACTTTCCTTTAGGATTGAGAGGATTGGGCTTCGCAAGCTCTTTACTTTTACTCTTATCCTTGGTCTTGGAAGACCCATCAATAAGAAGGGCTTTTGTCTTATCCTTTTTGATAGACACCTCAACAGTAGTTAACATGCTTAACAACTCAGGCAATGTAACATTCATCAAATGCATGTTATAGTTCATAATGAACCCACTGAAAGAATGAGGAAGTGATGATAGAACTAAGTCATGAATTAATTCAGCATCCATTATGAAGCCTAGACCCTCTAGCTTCTCAATGAGCGCTATCATCTTTAATACATGGCGGTTAAAAGACATGCCTTCAGTCATCTTGCATAGGAACAATTCCCTAGAGGTCTCATACCTCTCATGCTTATCCTTCTTATCATACAAATCCTTGAGATGAAGGATAATGGAGGGGGCATCCATATGCTCGTGCTGTTTATGCAGCTCGGGTAACATGGATGCCAGCATGATGCAACAAGCCAAAACATTATCATCCATGTGTTGCTTGTGGGCCTCGAAACCAAATTTCGCGAACCCATCTTCCCCTTCCTTATACGCAATAGGTAAAGCAGCGTCAAGGACATAAGCAACTTTTTCGGCCCGCAGAACAATTCTGACATTTCGATACCAGTCCATGAAATTAGGACCGATCAACTTGTTCGTTTCGAGAATAGTACGCAGAGACTAATGACCCGACATATTAAGCTGAATAGGATGTAAAAATAAAATAATTAATATTGTTATAAATAAACCATACTATTAAAGACTTCAAATAAATGGCCCCTCCCACTATTTTGTCTAAGTCAATGACCCTTTTCCTTATTGACCTAGGGCTATTCTTCTTAAGAATTTCCGTAGTGGGTTAAGAGAACGACCGTTTCATTTAATCCCCGTCTGAGACCGCAAGATCAAATTAAACGATGAGTTAATCATTATCAACAGTATCTCATACCTTCTCTTAACATCAGGTTGACAACTCCTTGTCACTTAATGGTGCATCTCATGCAACCAACCTGGCACTATTGCCCCAAGTACATAAGCTCGGCTGAGCCTGCAACTTATGCACCTGGTCAAGCACAAACCACTATCCTAAGCGTCTCTACACTTCAAGCATTCATCTTACCCAACGAAACAATGGGTCCCAACTGAGTTGTAGAGCAGCACTATAATACTCATAACTTAAATAATTTAATTAATTACCTTAAATTAAGTAATTAAGTATGTATTAATGAGTAAAATTAAGTATAGGGCCTAATTAAGTGAATTGGGGTCACTTTTGAGGTAAAAAGTGTACTCAGTGAAAATTAAGGGGTATAAAGGGGTGCAGGTAAAAGTATCCAAAATATAAAAATAAAAGTGGAAATATTCCTAGAATAATATTCCAGACATTTGGGTAAAGTTTGGTAATTAATGGAGTTGAATAGATAGATGAACTAATACCCGCTTAGAGCCACTTAACATAAGTTAAGTGCTCAAAGCATAAAAGAACCCATTTCCCCCCTCTTTTCCGTGGAACACCAGAGAAAGAAAGAAAGAAGAGAAGAGAAGAGAAGGAGAGGAGAATGAGAGAAAGGGAGAGAGAGGGAAAACCCTAGCCCCACCAAATCTCAACCGTTTTGAGTGATTCCAAAGCCTAAACCACTCCAAATCTTCGCCTCATCCTTAATCCAAGCTTGGTTCTTGAAGGTGGCATTGTGGAGTGGAATTTTCTTTGTTGAAGGTGGCGAAAATTGGGAGTTTGAGGTGTGTGAAGGTGATTCTCTCCATGGGAGCTTAGGAGATCAACAATCCTTAGTTGTGCAACCAATTGTGGTGAGTTTCTTCCCCTTGAACTTGGTTTTCATGGAGTTGCATGGTTGAGGAAGATGATGAATAGTGTTTTTTGGGGTTTTATGAGTTTGAGTGTGATGGAGGCTTGGTGCCTTTGTAAATGTTGTTAGTGATGATAAATAAACGGTAGAAATGAGTTTAGATTGTCATTTTAGTATAAATTGATATTTGAGTAAATTATGCTTGAGATTAAGGATGCTCTTGAATGTTAAGATATTGTTTGATTATAGAATTGATTGTGTTCCTTGTATTAATAGGATTGAGGCAAGAGAACCAAGTGGAGTGACCAACCTTAGTGGTTGTGTGCAATTGAGGAAAGCTCAAGAGCAAGGTAAACCTTTGGACCTTGGGGTTGATCCCATTGAGTGTTCCACCATACTCCGTTGAGGAGAAATGGTTTATGAGATGTGATATGTAATTATGATAGTAATTGTATGCTCATGCATTGATTCATGCATTGATACATGTTATGATTGATTAATGATTATTGGTTGATGTTTGATTGTTTAAGAGTAATTGAGGAATGGTTATAGAAGTAGCAATAATGAATGAGGTAATGGTGGAGGATTGTGATTGAGGTTATGAGTGATAGTATTATGATGAGGATGATTGGTAGGAACTTCCCTTGGAAACAGACCTATGTGGATCTCCATGTGGTTAGAGCCAAAGAGAAACTGCCCTATGTGGATCTCTCTTGGAGGTTCCTAGATTAAGGTGAGGGACTTCCCTTGGAAACTGCTCTATGTGGATCTCCATGTGGTAAGAGCCTAAGAGAAATAGCCCTTCGAGGATCTCTCTTGGAAGCCCCTAGTGTGAAGTTGTGGACTTCCCTTGGAAACAACCCTATGCGGATCTCCCTGTGGTAAGCACCTAAGAGAAACAGCCCTTTGAGGATCTCTCTTGGAAGTCCATGTGAGGTTTATGGATAAGATTGTGTTAAGCTGTTATGATTATGTGTGCAACAAAAGTGAACCTTAGGGTGGAGTGATCTCCAAGGACCTCTGGTTTACTGTGATATATTCGTATATCTCATCCCGTGTTGTGGGGCATCATTTCAGGTACTGATAGAGGTGAGGTTGATCGAGGCAAGAAGCATGAGTAGATTGTACCTGATAGCTGGACATTTAGGATTGCTATATGTATATTTTGATGTCACATTATGTATTTTGAGGGACTTAGTGCATGATCATTGTAGTGAGGAATGCCTTGTTGTAAATGGCTTATAGCTTTGATCATGTTCCTTTTATTGCTAAGTCCTTTGGCATGTATATGAAATTTGTAAGAACCATGATGTAATAGAGACCTTGATGAATTGTTGAATGTGTAGATATGTTTATCATTTTGATATGTATGATGAAATGGTATGCATGTTTCTCTTAGTATATGAGCACCTTGAAATGTTAGAATTCATGTATTGGAAGGACTATATGATGTCAATTAGGTCTTACGACCCTTGAAGAATGAAAAGGGGAAGAAAGTTTCCCAAGGAATACACCCAAAAACAGGGGAGACCAAGTTTTCCCCAGGTGTTGGGCGCTCAAGCACTGGTTTGGGCGCTCAAGCTAGCGCTCAATATACGTGAAAATGAATGAAAGCCCCTGACTTATGGTGCTCAAGCGTTGAGTTGGGCTCTCAAGCACTGGTTTAGGGCGTTCAAGCGCTGAGTTGGGCGCTCAGGCGCTCGGAAAGACCTGAGATGACCAAATTTCTTCGCAGTGGGCGCTCAAGCGCCCATTTGAGTGCTCGGGCCCGCATACCGAGACAACACCAACCTAGTTTACTAAAATGGTCAACTTGAGCTACAAATCTCCGATTTGAGCGCAGTTTGAACCCACGCGTAGCTAACTGAGGGATATATAACATAGTGTGAGATGAGAACTATAAAGTAATTACAAGTATTACAATTTAATAAAAAAAGTGAAGAGAGTTTAGTATTAAACTCGAACAAGATAACAATATGATGTTAAGTCTAGTTTTGATTGTTCCGCAAGGTAATAAGGTTATGGTCATGCAATTGATTATTTTAAACTCGACATTGTTAAAGAGGAAGAGCAAGTAAGTTTTAAAAAGAAAATGAAAATTTATCCGTGTTTTTAATTGAATCAATGTGATTGTAACTGCGCTTAATATCATAGAGCAATGTTAACAAACCAGTTCTAGAACCGGGTGTTACAAGCACCATGTCGAAGGGATTCAATTTGTACCGACGGTGGGAGGCAATCATGCACTTAATAATTGTTCCTTTTAAGGGTTCCTTTTCTTTTATTAGGGATTTACCAAGTCACATCAAGCGCGCATATTGTACTATCATGCTAGTCGTTGCCCTATGTCATACATCTACAACATACTATACTAGTCGCTTTTGGACATGCACAATAGAAACATACATACGCGATTTTATGACATGCATACTAATGGCTTTGACATACACGCA